TAGTCATAAGACTTAATACAAGGCAACTTTAGAAAATGATCCTACATAGTTTTAAATGTCTTGATGGAATAATAACATTCCAATTATTACTACCATATAGAACCATTAGATTTAAAGAAGTTCATTATGGAATTTACATAGTTGAAGATGTGACCATTTTTTGACAGAAGAGCAACATGAGTGCAGTAACTCAAAAATTCCAGTAGCAGAAGCCCCAGTGGAGCTTAAGAATATTTTGAGAAAGTTTGGTTTTACCAAATTGGTGCAATGCAATAATGGTTAAAAAAAACATATTAACTATCAACAGAAACTAAAACATTCCAAGAAATGACAACACCTGAGATGTTTATTTTATTTTATTAGGCAATTAAGTTTACTTAACAAAATTAATGAGAAACAACCAAGAAACATCAACTATCTCAGAATCAAATTATAAATATGAACTCTTTAAATGTTATCTAAAAGCATATATTGAGAACATGATCATTAGTAGGTAACATAATGCTACACCATACAGACAAAAAATCCAAAATATACTAGAGTATCTGCATGCTGTAATGTTTTACTGAAAGTATAAGGGATAAAAAGATGCAAGATAATTTATTCAATTCACTGATTTCAATATAACCCTTCTTATAACTGCACTGAAGAGGTTTGTAAGTCAAATATTATCCGTTAAGATTCAAGAAATTGTATAGTCAATATAGCACTATCAAATTTTTAAACATATATAACTAAAATTACACAGTTAGGAAAACCTCTCGAATCATCAAACAAGATTAAAATGGATTTGCCTTTTAAGGGATAAATTAATCTAATGCATCATGCCTTTATTGGAAAATCTTGTTTTTAAGCACAATAAGCAGAACATTGATGCTATACTTTTTGGCAAAATATAAATGTGGCTGAACAAGACATGATCAAGCTACAAGTCAGCACAGTGACAAGTACGAATTGCTGAGGTTCACAAATCTGACAGGAAACGGTTTACCATATCACGTTAGTTCCTGATAGGATATTGAACATACATAGTCTCAAAATTCGCATTTTGCTTGGCGAGCACATTATGAAAGGAAACGCCAAACTTGGTAAACCGCAGGTAAAGGTGGCATTTGAGACCTAAGACCAAATCAGACCCGACGGACCACAGGATTAGGACCAATAGGAAAGAAGCAAGAGAAGGCCAGGATTTAACAAGAAAAGAGATCCAATCACAGAAGTATACAAGGGCGTGTACGAATGAAAAAAATCAGACCTTCGCATCCAGATTTATAAGAGCAAAGTGGTTCCATGTCGGTGGGGTTCTCAAACCTTAAAGCACCAAAGACATGTAAGAAAGAGACGGAAGAAGATAACTGACCCGGAGGATCCTCGCCGCCTCAGAAGCGAGGGTCGAGGGGTTCCCATGTAGGTGGGGGGCGGCGGGCGAGAGGCAGTCCGCGACGGCCCTACGGAGCGGCTCCGGTGGCTTCTTGACCGCCGACGTCTGCAGCGCAGGCCTCCGTGGCGGCACCCGGAAGAGCCTCGTGCTCGCCGGACTCCGCGACGGGCTATAGCTCAGCGGCCTCTTCGACGATCCCGGCAGCGCCTCCTCCACCGGCATCTCCTCTCCACCTCAATCTCTCTCTTTCTCTCTCGAAACACTTCTTCTTCAAAGATCACTTCCTAATTTGCCACCACCTTGATTACTTCATTCCTCACGTCTTTTTCTTCACATTGGATGCCTCTGCAGGATGGAAGGGTAGAACAGAGAAAAGAATGAGAGAAAGATGGAGGATTTGAGAGATTTGGGGGAGGAGTTAGGGTTGAGGGAAAGAAGACGAGCTTTCGAATCCTTGTTTTAATTAAAGACGAAAACACCCCAAAGAAAATGACCCTTGCAGGGAATGACATGTACTCCACAGGCTTCTCGGCGATTCAGGTGGCTGGGTGTAGAATGGGTGTTTACCAGGTTAGATACCAAGAAAGGAGGTGTTCGATAGAGGGTTATAGCTGTCACCGGGACCCGCCACTAGGGCTTCTTTTATACTAGATCATACTAACCCACTGTCCTGGAACCCGATACCGACTGCTTGCGCGTCGTCAACATCGTTATTACAAGTATAAACCAGGATACGTATGAGTAGAGCACGCGGCTCGATCGATTCGGATTGAAATCGGTGAGCGATTAACGTGATAGGTTTTGACCTATTCAATCAAATTTCCACCAAATCTTGAAACTCCATCTGGCAAACGATCGATCGATCGATCGATCAAGCCATTTGCTATTTCAATTATCACAACCGACCCCAATTGATTCATTTTGGTGTCGGAGATCAAAATGGCATAAGATAGTCATTATGACTTGATGTTTACTGCTGACAGTCCAACACCAAATTTTGGTGACTTCCTCTCGAAGTCGCTGTTCTGGTGGCTCTCGATCAGAAACCTTGGAAGCTTTTCACCCTGAAATCTTCCATCTCAGATTCATAATTGAATGTTATGGACATTACAGCCAACGAATGAACAGAACATGCATCTCGATCGACAAGCTTAAAAGTTTCTAGCAGAACATGTCAAACAGCATCATAACATCATCATGCACTCGACACCAAAAAGGATGCATCTCAATCGACAAGCTTAGAAGTTTCTAACAAAACATGTCGAACAGCATCGTAACATCATCATGCACTAAACAGCAAAAAGGATGGCGCTCTGCCGGAAGAGCTGAAAACAGAACTATTATCATTCAGCAGAGATAAAGATTCAGCAATCAAGAACGAGAATAAGTACCAGCGCCCAGAAAACCAAAGAAACCCTCGATGAGCAATCCCCCCGTTCGATCCGGTTTTGCCTTTTTTCTTGGCAGCAAGCCATTACTAAAGACGAAACCCTAACCACCATAACCGTAGGTAGTCCTTCGCTGCCTCTCAGGTCATCCGACGAGGAGGCAGCTCAGCGTAGGGGGCGGCATCGCGGATTGGATTCGCGAGGAAAACCTTGAGGACGCCGCGGGTCGATGAGGCCGCGCGTTAATACACGCTTCGGGCCGCCCCTAGTCACGATGCGACGGATGGCTGGCTACCTGAGGCCCTGGATGCGGTTGAGGAGCACCTTGAGGTGGCGCTTCGCCCAGCCCTAGCCCGATCCCTTGCCGTGCGCGCTTCCATCGGCTGATCTACAAGTTCTCGGCAGCAATTCAGGGCGCCATGAGCTTGATTTGCGAGGAAGATGGAAGAAGGGAACAGAGGGAGTGCTTCGATTGCTCGAGATCGCGGGAGCCGGGAAACTCGAAGCGGTGCGAATGGGTTGGCGTTCGAACGTATTTATACGTGGTGGGAAGGAGACGAGATTGTGGGAGTTGGAGGTGATTCGGACCGCTGGAGATGGACGGCCAGTATTGACTGGAACTTCCGGATACGGATCACTGAGGTGGCACATAGTACGTCAGTAGATAGTATAAAACAGTAGCCTATTAGTATTTTGATCTGAAACTAAATAATAATAATAAATGCTTAGTGAGTTAAAGGTTCCACAGCTAAATCCTCATGCATATCTTTGTGAAGCATGAAATATATAGTGCTATAATAAGTTGGTATGAAATAGTTTTTTGTATGACTGATTGCAGTGCTATATATTCAGAAAATACAAACGAGTCTCATTGACTAGTCTGCAAGCAGTAAAGGCTTGAAATCTTGTTGAAAGTCGACTGCGTACTACTGTCAAAAGTGGGCAGCTTTTAGAATCTACAGAGAGAGATACGAGAAGGAAGACGTAGCAGTGCATGCAGATGGACGTACTGAGTGACACCACATTACAGTTCCGGTATGCATACTAAGGCAGCTAAAGAGATGCAGATCTTTAATGTCTCGTTTGGTTGATCGATGTAGAAGATGAGGGCTTGGACATGGCGAAGCGAGTGAGTTGGAGTCGCATGGTGGAGCAAATGAGGGAAAGCAGGAGCGTCCTGCATGCAGGACAACTGGTGATGAGGGAGTGACTGGCCCGAGTAAAGAAGCTGGTAGTGCCTGCTAAGCCTCCTTCGAAGCTTCTGCCCGTCTCTAGCCTTGTGGTTTTGGGAAGCAGTAGAACGCGTTCTTGCCCTCTATCCTGCCATGGTTGGATAGACGGGCTATTATTTTCTGTGTCTGTGGAGCACTTGGGGTCCTCACCCCGCTCCTGTAGATCACCTCCAGTATCATCAGTTGTTCTGGCATTCGACACCGCCGAGTAGAAGGCGACTGAGATATCTCTTTCTCACACTTTCTGGACCCCTGTCTCTCTCTCTTCTATATTTGTCTCTTACTTGGCATCGATCAGTGGTCTGGGTTTGGAGCCCATATATAGAGAGAGGGAGCACAAGGAAGAGAGAGCGACAAACATGTTGCAGGGAACTATAAAAGGTTAAGGGATCGGCAAAGGGAAGGAAAGTACCGTCACGCTGATGCTTTGTTCCCATCCGAAGCACTGTGAGAATTCAATGCTTTTGCTTCTTTCTTTTCTTACGTTCCTACTCTCTAAAACTAATTTTGTTTATAGTTGGGTCATCAGGTCATGTCTATCCACAGACAATATGTGTGTGTGTGTGTGTGAGAGAGAGAGAGAGAGAGAGTCGTTGAAGAGAGGGAATGACACGCAGCTGCACAGGAGAAGGAAAATTATAAGGAGATGATGCCGCTCAACTTTCATTCCAACAGTGGCGATCCGGTTTCCTCATATTCAATGGCGATCATGTTCATATACATTTCCGTCATCGTATTCTTTCACCCTTCTCTTCCATCACCTCCTTCTTGTTACTCTTATATTGTTGCCGATCAGATCCAATGATTTGAACATATAAATCACTCACAAATTCTTGGATATGAACTCGATACGATGGCTAAAGGTTTTCTTTTTAGCTTTTCAATCGATCCTATCATTGTCAAATATATATATATATATATATATATATATATACTCAAGATGCTTTAAAACTATCCAAGATCAATTGGGTAATCTTGTTATTGGTGAATAAATGTACCATGGCTGATGAGTCAGCACGGCTTGGTCTTTGGGTTGATGTCGGGAGCTGTCAACTAAGCTGGATGACAAGGTGGCTGTACCCTCGGAAGGGGGTGCTTATCGACATTTGTCAGTCTCGGGGCCGGTTAGCGGCTCGCCCTTACGTGCTGGATGGCGACCCCTGGGTTGAGACGCTCGCAGCTCGCAGGTGGTCATTCGATTGCAAAAATGGCTCTCGTCGAGTGATCCTTGACTTTGTCCCCTCCGACGAGCAAGTCAGTAGTGAGTCAAATTATTTTTTGCTCTTCTTTGGTCTGATGCCGGTCGAGGGCTTTTATACTATTGCATGAGGGTCGATTGCACGCGGGTTCGGCATGGCCGCTAATCCTCGAGGGATGGGATGACACTTCCGACTGGCCGCCATCTCGGGACGTGCGGAGTGGCGTCAGACAGCATCGCCTCGAGCTCTCGGGACGGGACATGTTGAATAGCATTTCGGAACGGATTCTGACTTGGCGTGTGGCATCGGCTGTAATGTGTCTTGGGCCCAAAATACACCTTATCACCTATGTTCCTTCTTGTTGAATATTTCATGGAGATAGTTCGATGATGTGCTTGTAAATTAATGTAGAAATTTGTATTGTATCTTAGGATGGAACAATTTGTGGTTTTTCTAAGATATCTTTAATTATGGGAAATCATGAAGATCCTCTAAAATTGTAGTTTCTCGGAGAGGAAGTACTAAAAGATCTTATCTAATTAGAATGAGTATAATAGGATATGCTAGCCAAGAAGTAATATATATAAATAAATATATAATAAATGTATTACGAATAAGTTTTGGATACAAAAATTCTATATTTGAAATAGGTTAAACAATTATTTAGTCTTTTCAATATTGTAATTTATAAATCATATTTGCTTTTGTAGCGAGTAATTTCTTCTTCGCATAAGATGACCATTATATCAATCATCATGATCATGATAAAATAAATAATTCATTAACTTCATTGAGTCTAAAAACAATAACATATTTCGATATCACGATTTTGTCGACCCAATGAATGCATTAATATTGAACGGTTGAGATCGCTTCATGATGATATGTGGAGCTTCTCCTTGGGTGGCAATTTCATTTTTTGACCTCCCCTAACGTGGTTAATCTCGAAGGGTATGATTAGACTTGAAAGAAACTATTCTCGACTTGTAGCACCTTAGTGTTAGCTTCTTGGATTCCCCGGTCCTAAGGATTCTCTCGAATTCCTATTTCTCAAGTCACGGTTACACCATCACATTCTAATTGTCCGATATTGGAGCCCGTAAGATGTACAGTTGATGAACGTATTCGAACCATACAATACTAAGAGAAAATACCGACCTACGGTATTGTCACCAGATCATTACATCCTATTTAAGGACAAATGCCCTTGCCTCCGTCGAGTATATATGAGACTTGGTTGCATGGAGTGGAAATCATCCCATCCCATAAGCTCTTGTCTGTCTCTACAAGCATTTGGTATGAAAGTTTTGTCTTGGAGATTCCAGACTTCCTATTCTCTCCCTTTGTTGTTGAATTAATTTAGTTTAGCTTATTTAATCTTATTACTATTATTATGTTCTATATATTTTTTATATTATTACTATTATTTGGATTAAACTCCCTTCCATATGGCAGGAGAAACAATGGCCTTTAGTCAGACCGCTAGAATTGGAGCTTGTGTGTTTTGTCTTGGGTTCATCTCCTTCTTACTAGCTATATTTGCAGAAACCTCAAAGGTCCTTTCTTACATCTCAATTTTTTGACATTATTATTCGGAACGAAATGTTACAGTGAGCATCCATGATATTTTATTTCAGAAAATTTCTATTCTTCTTAGATCTCACACGGTTGTTGCTATTCATTCATGTGCTTGATCGACAGCCTCCCTTCGGAACTCCAATCCAAGCAAAGGATGCAGTGATCTGCAAGTTCCCAGATGATCCATCCATCTTACTGGGAACTCTATCGGTCGTCACACTCGTTCTAGCTGCCATTGCAGGGCACGTTGCTGTTTACTTCCCTTACAAGGGCAAGTCGGTCCCAAGAAATGCTTTGTTTCGGAGCGCTACCTTGTCTACATTCTTTGTCCTCGCCGAGTAAGCAAGCGAGCCGGCTCTCGAACCTACCCTGCGAAAACTCCTTCATGCTTCTTCACTCACATGTGCTTCTTTGTGGTTTCAGGGTACTCACGGTTCTGGCTTTGTTGATGCTGCTGTGGACTACCATCAGCGAAAGCCTCCACAGGTCTCGCAACGTGCACCGTGATCTCACCACGCAGTGCCCAACCGCGAAGACGGGGCTCTTCGGCGGTGGCGCCTTCCTCGCCCTCGATGCCGCTCTCTTTTGGCTTGTTTGCCAGATGCTAACGCTGAATGCGAGGTCGGATTACTTGGACGAGGACGACACCAAGGGAGAGTACGTTGACGTCTGCACCACCGAGTTTGATGTCGCTGAGACGCATCTCCCCACTGCGTAGACAGACGTGGATAAACACAAGGTTGGGGACTCGGCATTGTTAATATTGGATTGTCTGTCTCATCGAGGGTCGGGGGCGTATAATTCTACTACTAACACCTGTGATTAAGGCCAATACATTAATTTCATGAGTCGCCAAAGGATACAAAACTTCTTCTATTTACATGCAAAAATATGCCTGTCTAAATATTATTAATCTGCGCGTGCTTATATTGATTGTATACATCGTTAACTGTTCTTGCAAATCCACAAAATTAACATTTACTCTAAATAAATAAGAAGGAAATGATAGTGACTACAGCCAATTGAGTCTACCCTCATGTTGAGGAAGTGAAGGCCATAAAAAAGATCGAGAGAGATGGGAGTGTTTGCCACCATTCGAAATCCATAATAAGATCAACCACGCGCACGATCTAATAGAAGTGTTTAAGATATTCTCAAGCTTCGCAAAACATTATTGTCGTATCAGTATCCAACTTGCACAGCTATCGCTGCGGCAGGAATGTTTGCTAGTTTCTTATTTGTGGTGAAATTTGTTAAGATTAAATTAAATAATTAGGATTAGATAAAATAAAAGACAACAAGCAATAAATGAAACCCTTTTCGTTTATATATTCAGAAAATATAGATGAACCTTTTGTCTTTCCAAATTAGTTATTCATTCTAAATTAGTGGTTCGATTGTTGCCTTGTGATGCCTCATTTTTCTTGATGCATTTCTGCTGAAGCCATTAAACCGTATTCCGACGACATAATTATTTGAAGTGCATTAGGTAGAGACTAGATTTCAAGACGTAAAGGCTTGAAACCTTGTTGAAAGTCGCTTGAGCACTACTGTCGAACGTGGGCAGCTTTTAGAATCTACAGAGAGAGAGAGAGAGAGAGAGAGAGAGAGAGAGAGAGAGAGAGAGAGAGAGAGAGAAAAGGAAGACGAAGCAGTGCGTGCAGATGGACGTACTGAGTGACACCACATTACAGTTCCAATATGCATACTAAGGCAGCTAAAGAGATGGAGATCGTTAATGTCTCGTTTAGTTGATCGATGTAGAAGATGAGGGCTTGGATGTGGCGCACTCATCCTTGAGGCCGGTGCTCGTAGTTGGGAAGAGATCGAGAGTCCTGAGAGATCTACGGTTCGGAAGCATCATCATGGACGTCCATTCATGGCCAAAGGCTTCATAATTCGTTTCTGGTGCTTCTTCGGCGTTGCTGATCTCCATCTTCTCTAGCAGATTCAGCCCTCCGTTTGACTCCTGCAATGATCACAAAATGTGTAAGTATCAAATATGATGTTATATCTTCATGACTATAAATGATTTTCCACATCAGTTTTGTAAGAAAAGAAGAAAATTGGAACGAGGAAAAAGATAAAACACAACAACAACAAGTTCATACAACCCTGCTCGATGGCTTTTATAGCATTTCCTTATTGTAGCAGTAGAACACTAGAATTGATTGTTCAGCAATAGCATTTTGCGAGAACAGAAGTTTACTGATGAGAAGGAAGAAATAGAGCTGGATGCGAGTGGAGAACCAGATGAAGGGAGTGAGTTGGAGTCGCATGGTGCTGCGAATGAGGGAAAGCAGTAGCGTCCTGCATGCAGTACAACTGGTGATGAGGGAGTGAGTGGCCCGAGCAAAGAAGTTGGTAGTGCCTGCTAAGCCTCCTTCGAAGCTTCTGCCTCTCTCTAGCCTTGTGGTTTTGGAACCAGTAGAACACGTTCTTGCCCTCTATCCTGCCATAGTTGGAGAGATGTGCTGTTACTTGCTGTATCTGTTGAGCACTTGGGGTCCTCACCCCGCTCCTGTACATCTCCTCCAGTATCATCAGTTGCTCTGGCGTCGGACACCACCGACTAGAAGGCGACTGAGGCATCTCTCTCTCTCTCTCTTCTAGATTTGTCTCTTTCTTAGCGTCGATCTGTGGTCTGGGTTTGGAGACATATATAGAGAGAGGACACATCAGAGGGGGCACAAGGAAGAGAGAGCGAGAGAGACAAACATGCTGTAGGGAACTGTAAAGGGTTAAGGGATCGGCAAAGGGAAGGAAAGTACCGTCACGCTGATGCTTTGTTCCCATACGAAGCACTGTGGGAATTCAATGCTTTTGCTTCTTTCTTTTCTTACGTTCCTACTTGTCTATTCACAGACAATATGTACGTGAGAGAGAGAGAGAGAGAGAGAGAGAGAGAGGGAATGACACGCAGCTTTGCACAGGATTAGGAAAATTATAAGGGAATGATGCCACTCAACTTGCATTCCAACAATGGCGATCCGGTTTCCTCATATTATATGGCGGTCATGTTCAAATACATTGTCTTCCTCGTATTCCGTCACCTTTCTCTTCCACCATCTCCTTCTATTACTCTTATATCGTCGAACACATGTTGTTGACTGCAATATCATGCAATATTGAAGGACCAAGGAGCGAAGTAGAAAAAATGATTATTTTTTTCATGGAAGTAATTATCTATAACAATTTTTGATGGAAGATCTTCCTAAGAACGTACAATAAGAGTGATGAATAATCCGCATTATGATCCTATAGGATCTTACATCAATACCTTCTTTAAGTAGTGCGAGTTTGCATTGAGTGAGGTCTTCTTAAAGCAATCTATCTATTCCCATGCTCCTTGCATCCATGGTGTTCCTGAAGCATAAGAACTTGTATGCAAGTAGTGCAGCAGAGGAGAGGAAGAGAGAGAGAGAGAGAGAGAGAGAGAGAGAGTCCTTGTGTTGGCATTCAGTATTATGAACTAGCTTTGTGACTGCATGTGTAGTCACGCATCAGAGACAGGTTAAATGTTTCAACGGACAAAGGACAATGCCTTGGCTTTATCTGGAGTCAGCAATTGGACTCCTACGATTCTGTCTAATCCAACTGCTTAAGCTCTCTAATGCTCCGAAGGGAATGTCTCCAACGTAGATTTTTAGGAGACGAAGTTGGTCGCAGCAACACGTACTACTTTTTCTTCTTTTGCCAACAGATGATGTATGCGTCTGACTTGACGAGGCAAGGAGGAGAGTTGACTACACGCTCAGTGACCCATTAACTACTCAGCAGATCGAACCTGGGAATGTAAGGAAACAGGCTATTTTGTGGCGTTCCTAGAATAAGTTAATGCAGCTCTTGTTCTTTTTTGTGTCTTTTCCGTGGCCTGGGAGATGGTGCGAGATCCAGTGTCATCGGATTTTGTTCAGACAAGATCAAGTCGTAATCGTCAGTGCAATCTGTGGCTTTGGTTTTGTTGTTGAATGTTGACCATTGGTTCTCTAGTAATGGCACGTAGATCCATGCATGGTGGACCGGGTAACCTGTTCTTTGGATCTTAGTGCTTGTTTAATCTTCTTGCACAAAAGCCAACGCTTTTCTTCATTGCATCAGCTTCATAAAACTTGATCCGTATTAAAAGGAAGTGTGAGTATATATACAAGGATTCCTTGTGTATAAAGGCTTTTCTTCCACCTCTGCAATGCCACTGCTCGCTGCATTCCCAGTCTCTTGCGTTGACCGACAACATTCCAAAGCAGCCGCTCTCCACCGAATCACACGTCAGTGACGACGACAGTGGGGAAGGCATCAAGGCAACACCTCGAAGTCCGAAACGCCTGCAGACTCTGAAGTCTATCGAGTGACAAGACGTCCGCTTCAGCGACTCTCTTTCTTTGAGAGAGCGAGAGAGAGAGAGAGAGCGCATTGATGCAGCAGCTGTCCACTCTGGCAGATGATAAGCCTACAGCGATACGTTGACCAGACCGCTTCGTTTACTAATGCAGCCAAGTTAGCTGAGACGCAGTGGTATAAGTTTAAAGGAGGAAGAGGAAGAAGAATCTCTGCGAACAAAAGTCAACTCGAATACTTTGATCCCTACCTAGAGAAGGGCTACAACAGCATCAGAGGAAGTCATAGCGCAGTAGGGCACGCAGTGCCCTGGCCGACGTGACATTGTCTCCTATCACCTCATTCTCCTCCCTTGCACGCCAAGTTCTCTCTCTCCCCATGCCTGACAATGGTAGGACATGAGCGACGTCATGAGTCCAGTGTTGCAGACTCACAGGAACGAGACTAAATGCTTGCTTGCACTCGCAAGACTATATATATATATATTAGGAATAATTTTTTGATACAAAATTTCTATATTTTAAATGTAAATGCTTACATAGAAATAACTAATTATTTTAATTTGAAATAGGTTAAACAATTATTTAGTCTTTTCGATGTTGTAATTTATAAATTATATTTGCTTTGTAGCAAGTGGTTTCTTCCATCCAATCTTACATTTATATGTAACATAATAGGTGTTATAATCTTCACTTAAGATGACCTTCATATCAATCATCCCTATTAACTTCGTTGAATCTAAATCATCAATAAAATATATGCTTAAACTCAGGCTAATAGTAGCACATTCATCGATAAAAGTCAATTTATTTAAATCTTAATATATTTTTATGAGACTAAATTAATGTGGTACATCAAATTCTTCGAATCATAAAAAAAAATAACATGTTTCAATATCACTCTCAAACTAAAAATTAGTTTCTCACAAAGAATTTGCTATAGCTTTTTTTAATAGCAAATTAAAGTTGTGGGTAGTTCAATGGAAACAGACAACGAAGGTTGTAGAGATCAATACGGGGAATAATACCAATAAACTTACACTATTCATTTAACGGTTTTGGTGTCGACCCAATGAATGCACTAACATTGAACGGTTGAGATCGCTTCATGATGATAGGCGAATATTTGAGCCCGTAAGATCTATCTATAGGTGATGAACATATTCAAACCATACGATATTAAGAGAGGATACCGACCAACAATATTGTCACCAGATCATTACATCCTATTTAAGGACAAACACCGAACGACTCATAAATATTTATCAAAATACCCTTGCTTCCATCGAGTATATATGGGATTTGATTGCATGGAGTGGAAATCATCCCATCCCATAATCATCCCTTGTCTGTCTCTACAAGTGTTTGGTATGAAAGTTTTGTCTTGGAGATTCCACACTACCTATTCTCTCCATTTGTTGTTGAATTAATTTAGTTTAGCTTATTTAATCTTATTATTACTATTATTATGTTCTATATATTTTTTATATTATTACTATTATTTGGATTAAACGCCCTTCCATATGGCAGGAGAAACAATGGCCTTTAGTCAGACCGCTAGAATTGGAGCTTGTGTGTTTTGTCTTGGGTTCATCTCCTTCTTACTAGCTATATTTGCAGAAACCTCAAAGGTCCTTTCCTACATCTCAATTTATTTGACATTATTATTCAGAACGAAATGTTACAGTGAGCATCCATGATATTTTCTTTCAGAAAATTTCTATTCTTCTTAGACCTCACACGGTTGTTTCTGTTCATGTGCTTGATCGACAGCCTCCCTTCGGAACTCCAATCCAAGCAAAGAATGCAGTAATCTGCAAGTTCCCAGATGATCCATCCATCTTACTGGGGACTCTATCTGTCGTCACACTCGTTCTAGCTGCCATTGCAGGGCACGTTGCTGTTTACTTCCCTTACAAGGGCAAGTCGGTCCCAAGAAATGCTTTGTTTCGGAGCGCTACCTTATCTACATTCTTTGTCCTCGCCGAGTAAGCAAGCGAGCCGGCTCTCGAACCTACCCTGCGAAAACTCCTTCATGCTTCTTCACTCACATGTGCTTCTTTGTGGTTTCAGGGTACTCACGGTTCTGGCTTTGGTGATGCTACTGTGGACTACCATCAGCGAAAGCCTCCACAGGTCTCGCAACGTGCACCGTGATCTCACCACGCAGTGCCCGACCGCGAAGACGGGGCTCTTCGGCGGTGGCGCCTTCCTCGCCCTCGATGCCGCTCTCTTTTGGCTTGTTTGCCAGATGCTAACACTCAATGCGAGGTCGGATTACTTGGACGAGGACGACACCAAGGGAGAGTACGTTGACGTCTGCACCACCGAGTTTGATGTCGCTGAGGGGCATCTCCCCACTGCGTAGAGGGACGTGAACAGAGACAGCGTTGGGGACTCGGTACTGTTAATATTGGATTGCCCGTCTCATCGAGTGTCGGGGGCGTGTAATTCTACTACTAACACCTGTGATTAAGGCCAATACATTAATTTCATGAGTCGCCAAAGGATACCAAACTTCTTCTATTTACATGCAAAAATATGCCTGCCTAAAGATTATTAATCTGCGCTTACTTTGTATACATTGTTAACTGCTCTTGCAAATCCACAAAATTAGCATACTCTAAATAAATAAAAAAAGGAAATAATAGTGACTACAGCCAATTGAGTCCCTATTTTTCGAGGTAATTCTAGATTACTCCGTATAGTGACATAATATTAGCATCTCGGTTCCTATATTTTAAAAAAGTAACATTGTGATCCATACATTTACAAAAGTGAAACATTTAACTTCAATTCTCCTCGTATCGTCAAATTCATCGTGGAAGGGGTAAAAAAATAATTTCATAGAAACTTTTGACATCAACAAGAATGCATGGATGCAAACTAGTACGGTCATCTTTTTTATATTTTTTTGGATTTCTAATCACCGATTAACACTTAGGTGATTCTAATTCACCACATATTTAATTTCATAAAATAAGTATAGTCTTAATTTTTATATGATTTCATGGATGCTCTTTCTCTTTGTGTCTCTGCTCTTGCCGCCATTATTCTAGTTCTGACGGATGAAGAACTTCTAGGCTTGGCTGGCGACCTACGTCAGTGTTCTTGTCATCATTGCCCATCATAAGATGTTCCTCCAATCCCCCTTCTTATACTTGGCCTAGGAGATGCCACATTTCTGCTCCTCTCCCTTGCCCCGGATGATCAGTTACTGGTGGTGCCATACGCCACCGTCGGACTCGTCGTCACTCCCATCATCGTCTGCCTCGCCCTAGTAGTCCGGCATCTCCATCATCTCTCACTCAATTATGTCTCAATCCTCCACCAGGACCTGGTAGCATTCCCACCCTCGACGAAACTCTGTCGTACCAACTATGTCGCGATGGTAGACCACCGATCCGAGGTGACCTTTGGGTACACAACTAGGGCCCACTCAAAGAGTTTGTCCTCCTCTCGCGTCCATGGCCTCGGCACCATCCCCATGAACTGCCTAGAGAACATGGATATCAAGTCACCCTCGCCCATCTGTCTTACTCTTCTTTCGCAAGGAATAAGAGGGTTGGTGGTGTAATATTTTTTACTTGACATCGCCATTGGTCTGTCGTCCATAGCACAACCAGAGGTGCGTGAGCCTAGCACGCGAGGGTGGCATTCCATAGGAGACCTGAGCGTTGGCCTCACATGCCACCAATGTTGCCACTGGTCTGTCGTCCATAGCGCAACCGGAGGCGCACGAGGGTGGCATTCCATAAGAGATCTGGGCGTTAGCCTCGCATGCCACTGGTGCCGTCGGCCTTGTGCCCCACCAACACTGTTGTCATCCACAGGGAGGAAAGTAGGGAAGTTTATATGAAATTAATTTTTTACCCCTTCCATTCATGATGAAATTAATGACGTGAGGAGAATTGGGGTTAAATGTTACACTTTCATAAGTATAGGGATCTTAATACTATTTTTTAAAGTATAGGAACTAGGATGCTAATCCTATAAAACTATAGGGGGGTAATCTATAATTACCCTATATTTTCTCGAATTATGATGGCATCAACATCAATAAAAAATTTGAAAAATATTAAAAGGTGTGTTTGGAGGCATAGATAAGATAAAAATTTCAAAGCTTCAAATTTTTCGACGTAAATTCAAAATTCTTATGATAAAAAATTTCTGAATCTATTATTGATTTTTTTTTTCTTCAAAAGTCTCTTCTATCGTGAACTAAATGAGATCTCATAGTGAAAACCTAAAAGATCAAACTATAGTAGAAAATATTTTATAAAGTTTATCTCTAAAATTTGATATGATTTCTATCGAAGAAGCTAAAGGTATAAATACATTGTCTATTAATGAATTAATGGGCTCCCTTTTAGTTTATGAAAAAAATTAAACATATCTTTAG